TGAGAGAGAGAGAGAGAGACGCGTGTGACACCTGCATGCCCCACGCCACCATCGTCACGTCCGTACCTGTACGGGAGAGAGAGAGAGAGAGAGAGAGAGAGAGAGAGAGAGAGAGAGAGAGAGAGCATGAGACGCGTGTGACACCTGCGTGCCCCACGCTACCATCGTCACGTCCGTACCTGTACGGGAGAGAGACGACATGAGATGGGTAGAGGTGTAATCGAGATACAGTGGCCGATAATGCGATAATCGACGCGCAGCATTAGTATCGCGATACAAACGATACGGATGTTAAACAGTGAATAAAGCATGGGAAAATATTTAATAAAGCACATGCAATTAAATGCATGTTTTGCTTCTTTTTTTTTTTTTTTTTTGTTTTTTTTTTTTTAGTATGGTTTTTTTTAATGTTTTTCATTTATGTTTTTAAATTGAATTCTTGCTTTTACGAGGCTAGGTGGAAGGAGGAGCCCCCGACGCATCTCACCTTCCTCCATCACGTCTGCCTTCCCCAGCGGCACCATGTAGTCCTTAATGGGCACCTGCTCGATCGCTGATCGATAGAGGATCTTCGGCTCGAAGAAGACGCACGGGTCGGGCTCCCGCACGCACGACAAGAACAGTCCCTTAGCCTGGATCGGTCCCCGCGGCACCACCATCTACACACAAACAGTATCCATGAGTCAGGGGGCATCGCCAGAATATGTCTTCGTCGCAAAATTGGTCTTAGTAATAGGGTTAACATGTGCAGTAGTCGTCGCAAAGTCTTGGGCTCCGTGGCCAGAAAGAAAAATAGTGTTAGGGTTAGTGTGAACAATAACAGTGAATCAGGGGCATTGTCTTCAGAAATAAAACTCCTAGTCTTAGTATTAGTGGTAACGTTTAATAGTCGTCCAAACGTCGTGGGGGGCCCGTGGTCTGAAAGCAAAACTAGTCTCAACATCGGTCTTAAAGCGGAAAGTTTTATCGTCGACGCAAACGTCGTAAAGACGCGAGAACGGGAAAAACATCGCGACGGATTTCGTCTCAACTTTACGAACAAAATTCCGTCGACGGTCCACGAGAAAAGGGGAAAAGGAGAACAGGAGAAAAGGTAAAAAGGAGAAAAGAAGAAAAGGAGGAAAGGTGCCGCTGTTACCGAAATGCAAATGGAAACAGCAACTAAGCGAATAACCCGCGCGAACTCGCGAAAGTCGAGGCGAACGAAATGTAGGGGACGCCGGCAGCGACTCACCTTGAGGCCGGGGATGTGCGTGAAGAAACTCTCCGGACTCTGCGAATGATAAATGGAGCCGTGGCCGACGGCCCCAGAGGGCGCTCTCAATTAGCATGAGAATCTTACTAACGAGTGTCTTCGTTAACTCGATGCCTCGCCGCCACAGCTCATCAACGAAGCGGCAAAGTACCGGTACCGATCGGGCGGACTCTTCAACTGCGGCGGACTCACTGTCTAATTCTAATTTCTTTTTATTATTATTATATTTATTAATATTGCCTTTTTACATAAAATGATCAAAGGCGCAATTTTCATTCACTCCTGATTATAAGCATGTGTGCGTAAGTCATAAATAGACATCACCCAATGCCAGACATCTGTGAATAATTACACTGAGTAAACATGGTGCTGGCATGTATTACTGGCATACAGCAGTTCAGAGACTACACACAATAGATGACATGCAACGACCACCATCACACAGACACACACACACACACACACACACACACACACACACAC